CAGTGACACTGGTGTCCTCCTACCAGTGGGTCAGCCATCTCTGTTCTGTACTCACCAACTGTACTGAAGGCCTTCGGTCGCTCTGTCCCTCGTGGAGGCACTAGAATTCCGGAGAATTTCAGTAATGTGGATGGCAGCTTACTGCATTTGCTATCTACATTAAGTATATATAATGTCAACTCACATCCCCTTCATCTGTTTTAAAGTTTTAGGCACATCTCTGCAGGTAACATTTTAAGTCTAATTTATACAAGTCACAATGAATGTTTTTCTTTATTTTTATTGTTGACATTATTGCAAATGTCCCATTTCCCCCCGTTTACCCCCCACCTCCCAGCCCTTGCTCCCACTTCCCTCTGGCTATCGCCACACTACAAGCTGCATTTTTTTTTAAAGGGGCACATGGTTTGGAGTTAAACAGAGAGCTTACAGGTATTTGGCACCTAGTAGGTGATTTTACATCAATAACTAATTTAATTTTCATGACTAGCCCTGTAGGTAAGTTAGAGAATTATCTGTTAATGAAGAAACAGAGATTCAGACATTTTAAACAACCACCCCCAACGACATAACAACTAAACAGAGTCTGGAAATTAAACCTGGGTTTCCTGTCTCGAAGTCTGGTAGTATTTCTGCCATGCCACTCGACTCCACAACACTTAAAGTCAAGAAGTCTAAGTTTTACTTCCAACTTAAATACATAAAACACTGTGTACTCTATTGCTCTTTTGGAAATTTGTGTGTTCATTTCTACATCAAAGGTTCTATTGAATTCTAATGCAAAGACACTTTTAGTGATTTCAACGCTCATGGAATTATTGGTTGATGGTTTTTCTCCCCCATTACTGCTGTTTGGCATGTGTGTATGTAACTATTAACTCTGCTCTGAATGACGCTTTGTAAACACACCATGAGAAATGCTGGTGGAGATGACCTGCTGGGGGGTCTGGAGAGAGAGTTGTGCACTGAATACAGATTCAATCTCTTAAAACAGTCGTTGGGTGTACTTGCCGAAAAGAGCTCAGGGCATAATTTTATTTTAAAATTATTTTTGGGAACGTCCCTCGTTCAAGACAGAATTAATGTAGGAGAGCCGGATTTCAGTGGTACAGTGATATCTCCAGGGCTCCCCACAAAAATTAAAAAGGCTCTCACTTTCTTTCTTTGCCATCTTTCACCTTTTCTTGGGTTGCTAGTCTCTCTAGTGGCCCATCTTAACCTGCCCATCTCTGCGCACCCTAGGTTTCAGAGGTACCTTTGGCACCTGTTCTGATCTAGGATCCCCTGGAAACTTGCGGCCACTGAGGGCAAGGGACTTTCATTGCCACACCACCCCAAAGACATCCTGTTGGCCAGCCCACTCCATTAGAGCCATCACAGTGAAGGACACGGTGCACTGTACCCTCCACCCAAAGAAGGGACACACGTCTGAGGTGACAGAATGACATCTGTGTGTGCTGCGGTGACCTGTTTCATGGGTGGGTCAAAAGCAGTCAGGTTTGGGTGGACTCAGAACCCTGAAGATCTAGCAGATCTGATCACACTCCTGGGGTTGGATCAGGAGGCTCCCAGCCTACAGCAAGACCCAGGAAGGAGTCACAATTTGGTTTTAGTTTCCATGCCCGTCATGCCTTGCCAAAGCCACCGCCTTGGGACTTACCATGGGCCTTATAAATGGCCATGGTATGTTATGCAGCATTGCTTCTAACCCAAGAACCCAAGTTAGGTCACAGGCTGCAGCCCATGAGAGTCGCTGCTCTCACCATACCAAAGGCACTGGCCTTGCAGAGCGGCAGAATGGTGTGTTAAAATCCACGGGTGCCTCCAGCTGGTTAAACAAGCACTTTCAGTATGGAGTGCCGCCCGTCAGACGGAGGAGAGTCTTTGAACAAGCATGATCCCAGGCAACTCTTCCTCCTTTAGCCAGAATACGTGAGTCAGGAAATCAAGTGACAGACTTGGGGATAGCACGGCTCGCAAGTACTCACAATGTTTGTTTCGCGTCCCCATTGTGTCGAACATGTAATACCCAACAAAGGGATGCTGGCACCAAAAGAATAATATTCTTGCTGAATCTGAAGTTTGGACTCTTAGCTGGGTGTTACACCCACTGAGGTCCCTGGGTAAACAGGAACTGCCGGTGCATCAGTTCCTGCCTGCTGACCCCACCTGTCTGGCAGGCTGGGTTTTGCAAGACAATATTGGGGGCTTCGCTTGATGCAATCAACATGGACCCTGCCTTTGTCCCCTTTCACTCCTACACTAAACGGGCCATTGGAAAGTGCCAGCCAGATGTCCTCAGGAGGAGTAGGTGGCAAAGGGTGACAAGAAGACCCATGAGCAAAAGAAGTCACATTCAGGAAAAGGCAGAGCCATATGGATCTCGCATGAGAATGGGCATTACGGAGGGTTCCTGCGAGCTCCATGTTATGATATGGAAGACGCTCCCTCTCCTGGGAACCCACGGCTTTCTTGAAAGGTCTCATTTACATGTTTCCAATCTGGCAGTAGTAGATGCAGTGGGTATTAAAGGTTATAATAAGGGAGAGATTTTAAGCATAAATACCCTAAGAACCCCATCTCGTATTTTTGTCTCAAAGTAAACAAAGTGGTCTAAAGAAGTATCTCTGTGCATAAAATAAGTAAATAAACCAAAATGAATGTTAAAAGAATTTGTGGGTAATTTTCTGTGGTGGAAGTTCTGCCCAGGGAGGATCTATTCCCTCAAGCAGGATTCATTTGAGATGCTACATTTAAGGCTAGTCATTGTGATATGAGTGTTATGTCACTTTTTCTGAACCTTTAACTCTGCTTTATTGTTAACAAACCTGTAGAATACGAGCAGGGCACAGGGCCAGGGAAATAGCTGGGCGATGATGTTAGGAACAAGAAAAGTTTAAGCATACCATGGATGCCATCTATTTTTACCTGCCTTTCCCCTCCCTTAAAGCCGCATCATCTTTTTAAAAACACTGTCCTCACTGTGTCCTGTACGCATCCGTAGGCTGTGGCTTGTCATTTATCTTCAGGGATGAGAAATCCCTGACTCTGATGGCTTAACAATAAGGGATTTTATTATTTCACATAATAGGACGCCTAGGGTGTGAGCAAGCTCTTGGCAGCGTAGAACCGTTTGGCTCGATGATGTCATCAAGGACTGGGATTCTTTTCATCCTCTGCGAGTTGGCTTTGCCCCAGGCTGACTCCCTTCACGGCCCAACAAAGGCCCTAGCAGTTTCAGATATCATGTACGCCTTTGATCCTATCTAAGGGAAACCGTGGGACTATCACTTTCTTTTTAAAAACTGCTTTATTGAGCTGTAAGTCTCATGCCAGACAATCTTCCCATTCAAAGTGCCCAGTTCCGTGGATTTTAGTACACTCATGGACTGGTGCAACTATCACCACAACCAATTTTAGAATATTTCACCACTCCAAATCCTGCCTACATTCCTTGATTTATGGCTCCTTCCTCAACTCCCTCCTCCCCTCCCCCCTCCCCCCCATCTCTGGTCTCTTCCTTATGAAGACCCCTCTCATTATACTGGGCCCACCTGGATAATCCAGGATAAACTTCTCAGGATCCTTGATTTGGTCACATCTGTAAGGTAGTCACAGGTTCCAGGGATTAAGAGGGGCATCCTTGGGGAAGGAGGGGTCCTTCTGTTTGGCACACGGGGTTCAGTATTCAGAATCAATGCCCGTGAAGAAGGTAGAGCAGGAGGTGAACTGGACAGAGGGCAGAGTGAGCTGTGGTGCAGCCTGTACATGCGGAGACCAGGTTGTGAGCTCTCTAAGCCTGCAACGTGAGGGGTGCTGTGTAGGAGGGCATCCTTGAACGCACTTAGCAGACGTTGTGTTGACAGAATGACGGGCAGAAGGAGGAAAGGAAGAAGCCTGGGCTGACTGGCTTGGTCTCCATGCCAACCGGGGTGGGGGTGGGGACTGAGGAGTGGAAGTGCTATTGGTTGGTCAGCATTGGCCCTGGCTTCTCTGTAGCTTTCTTGCTTCCTAGAATCTATTCACTAGACTGTGGCCAGAGAGATATTTACAAACATAAACCAAAGCCCTGGCAGCGTAGCTCAGTTGGTTAGAGCATCGCCCCAATGTGCCAAGGCTGTGGGTTTGATCCCAGGTCAGGGTGCATTCAAGAATCAACCAATGAGTGCATGAATAAGTGGAATGACAAATCAATGTTTCTCTCTCTCTATATCAAAATCAACAAAATTAAATTAAAATGTAAACCAGATCCCATTGTTCCCCAGATTGGATCCCTTCAACACCTGTCCATCCCTTTTGGTTCAATGTCCTCACTCCTCAACACCGGGGCCTGTCTGGCCCACCGCTGGGGCTTCATTCCACCCCTTACTCCTTAGCTCCCTGGGCTTCATCCGCACTGACCTCTGACCTGTCAAACTGCCTCAGGCTTTAGAGTTTTGCACTGGCTGTTCCCTCCCCTGGGCTCGCTGTTCCCCTGGATCTCTGTTTGACCTGCTCCCTCTCACCTTTTAGGCCTCAGATTAATTGCCTCTCACCCAGAGGGGCCTAACTTTGCCTCATTTAAAATAGTTCTCCCCCACTCAGCTCCTTTATATCACCCGTTTTCTTTGTGGTCCTTATCACTACCTAACATTGCCCTGTTTGAGTTATTTTTTAATTTTATTTTTTTAAATATAATCTTTAATATATATATATTATTATTATTATTATTATTTAGTCCCCTTAGGCCCCCCTCCCCCCAGCAACCACCTCACTGTCGTCCATGTCCATGAGCCCTTTTTCCTCTTTGCTGATGTGGTGCTAGGCCCTAAAATAGAGTTGAGTGATAGATGGAAGGTTGAGTAATGAGTGCGCGAAAAATGAAGGCAGCCCCCAAGTGGCGGCCCCTGCATACCGCACCACCCTGGCGCGGCGGGAACCCGGGCCGGAACCCTAGGGCGACGGCAGCGGTTTCCCTGAAATAGGCGGAGGACGCTTGAGGGAGCACACAGGAAGGCGGGGCGGCGAGCCGACCGGCGGTGGTGAGTGCGGCGGGGCCCGAGCGGGGAGCGGGGCGCTGGGACGAGACGGGAGCGACGAGCCCCGGGCCGCGGAGCGGAGTCGCAGGGGTCGCGCTTGGTCGTGGGGACCCGGGCTCGGAGACCGGCGTCGGGGCCGCGGGTGCGGGCGGAGCCTCGAGGGCCCAGCGCCAGTGTCGCGGGGAGGACCCCGTGCGGATGGCGGGGTCCCTAGGGTCACTGAGGGAGTCAGCTGTCCCGGGTTCTGGTCCCAGAGCTGTCGCTCACTTGTGCGACTCTTATTTTATTCCTTTGGGCTTCCTGTGAGTCATTTGACAAACGGGGCGAATAGTGTCTGGTCGATTGATTGGGTTCATTCATTCCAGGTGTTTTACCTGGTTCTGTTTGCTGCAGGCGCCGTAGACAGAACCTGTATGGTGAGGGGTTCGGGGTCTAGTGAGAGAACCCCCACCTGACTGGTGAGGGGGCCCAGTACCATTAGATTTTGGCAATTCCTCGAGGGGAAAGAACACCCTGCTTTTCAGGCTAGAAATAGTCATCAAACATATACAAGTTAGACTTTTACTGATGTTGGGGAAGGAGAATTCCGTTGGGTACTTAGAAGGCATATACATTGTTAGCTGAAATATTGCACATTGGGACGACAACTTAAATGCTTACAGAGAAATTTACAGCGTGCGTTCACAGCCCCATCAGATGTGATCCTTGCAGCCTAATGAGTTCATCAAGCAGGTGGTGTGTCTTTGTTTTACTGACGAGGGAAGTGCATTCACAGCCCCTTCGGGTGTGATCCTTACAGCCTAATAAGTTAGTCAGAGCAGGTGGGGGGGGGGGCTCATTTTACTGATGAAGAAGTAGAGGCAGAGGCTGGGTGACTTGCCCAGCCAGCCACCCAGCCAGTGAGTGACAAAGCTGCAGCCAGAGTCTGGGCCTCAGGACCTTTGAACCAGCGCTTTTTACAGCACACTGGGTAGGTAGCCTGTATGTTTCCACTGTTCTTAGAACATATGGATTATTCGTTGGGTCGTGGTGACCCTTAAACAGACACACGGACTCTTAGATTGTTCTCGGACTTACTGGCATTCTTCTCGATCCCTACCCTTGGGTGATCTTATCTGCACTCACACTCGACCTCCTTCATAGCCAAGAATCCCACATCCGTATCATTCTGCATTCTACATCTTCCACCCTGTTTCTCCCAGCTTCAAATTGCTAAATTTGGACCTTCACTGGTCGTTTCTACTTGGATGCCCAACAACCATCTCAAGCTTAGCATCTCCTAAAGTGCACACACTGAATTTTTCCGGAAACCGACACTCCCAATCTAAAGATTGAAATCATTACCCGATCAGTCGCCCAAGTACGAACCTGGCTTGGTTCCTGTTCTTTCATCTTCCACAATCCATTGATCACCAAGTGCTTCCAAATTTCCTCTCTCTTTTTAAAGAGAGGGAGAAAAAACCCTTTTTAAAGTTTTTTTTTTTTTTTTTTTTTGACAGAGGGGAAGGGAGGGAGAAAGAAAGAGAGGGAGAGAAACATCAGTGTGTGGTTGCCTCTTGTGTGCCCCCCACTGGGGACCTGGCCTGCAACCCAGGCATGTGCCCTGACTGGGAATCAAACCAGCGACACTTTGGTTCTCAGGCCTGCGCTCAATCCATGGAGCCACACCATCCAGGGCCCACATTCTCTTTTATAAGGATCTCCCAATCCATCCTCTATCTCCGTTGCTCCTTCCCTTCTTCCTTCCTTTTGGTGACTAGAAGTTATGGTACTAACGTCCTACTAGTTCTCTTTAGCTTGAAGCTCAGCTTCACCCAGTCTGTTGTCCATCCTGCTAGGAAGTGATCTTTTCTATAGTTCAGATGTAATAATCATATCACTCACTCGCTTAAATCCCTTCAAGTTTTTGTAAACGTCAACATAATATCCAAAGTCCCTGGCGTGGACTCAAGGTCCTTCCTGACCTTTTCCGGGCCTCCCCCTACCTTCCCGTCCTTCACCTCTTGACCACTGTCGCTCCAGGCGTGGTGTAGTGCAGACCTCAGTTAGAGACTCGGGTGTACTTGTTACAAATGGCGATGACAGCCCAGCCAGAAGAAATCAGGGTCTTGGGGGAGTGATGCTTAAGAATCTGCATTTTATATACGTTCTCAGCATTTTAGCAACTTTTTTACTAGCGTTGGTGAGGGCTTGTGCTAGATGCTCCCTCAAACTGACCCTGTTCTCATCTACACCTGACTACCCCCTGTGTTGTCCTGAGTTCACTTTGGCTTCTTTTGTGCCTTTGTACACATCAGTCTCGTTAGCTCCTTTTTTGGTAACTCCTCCTCATTCTTCAAGACTCAGTGTCACTGTAACTCCTGGGAAGGCTTCCCCGACCGTGCACAACCGTGCACCTCTGTGTCACCTCCAGTCTACTATTAGGTGTGCCTTTGGGTTCCATTGCTGCCAGCCTGGACGGACTGGGCCCCTGGTTCACAGGAAGCTGTACTGTCTGGTACTGGTCTCGCTGTTGCTGGTGATAAGGATGTTTCTTGCCTTGGGAGGCATTTTAACCAATGGAAGTGTTAAAGAAAACAGTTATCTTGTGACACTTGTTAAAGAGTGGTAAGGTGGACTTTACTGAGGGGGCAGGGGAGAGGCATCCATCTCCATGGATGTAGAGACCACTGCAGCGGGCGTGTTGGCATAGGAGCAGGAGACGGGCTCCGACCCCACCCTGGTTCCCAGCCAAGAGCGAGGTGGAGGTCAGTGGGTGAGAAATTAACTTACAGAAAATACCAGGATACAGGGGATTCTTGTTAGAATGGCTCAGCCTGGCAGGGCGGTCAGAAAACCAAGGGTGGGTTTGTGTGTTTGCGTGTGCGTGCGGGAGTGTGCTCGCGCATGTGCTAAACCTACTCGACAGGATTCTTGCCTGAACTGGATTCTGTTAGGACAGAGCGAAACCCATGGCTGGGCTCAGACCAGCAGAGAGAGCTCAGAGGAACCTGATTACACTCAGGGCAGAAGAGAGCCTTTGTCTGCGGTTCCAGGGAGTAACAGGAGAAGTAGCATCTTCAGTGAAAGCAGCTTTTTTTTTTTATTGGTTTATTTACCGCATGCACACATAGTCATAAAAAATTCTGTTTAAATATTTATCTGTTCAGAAAATTATTTCATTTTAGAAAACTTAGAAAATACATTGTAATTTAATAAATAAAATAAATGTCGCCCATTATCCCACAAGCAAGAGGGAACTGCTTAAATTTTTGTGTGTTTATTTCTGTTGGTGTTTTTCCCATTTATATTTGTGTTTGGACATAACTGGGATAGTACCAATTATATACGGCTTTTTCGCCTGCTGATTTTACTTACCATTGTAGTTTGAGTTTTTCCCACATCAAAAATCCTTAGTGAAGAAACAGTTAATGTAGGGGAGGAAAAGTTTCACTTGACCCTCGTGTGGTCCGAAGCTGGGCCTGCAGACTAACCCGACAAAGGCAGATTAGCAGGAGCAAAGCACGCACGTTCATTTGGAGTGAGTTTTACGTGGTGACGTGGGAGACTTCAAAGGAAGTGGAAGACCCAGACAGACCAACCTGAGTATTTGGTGCTAGGTTTGATGAAGAGTGGAGGAATGTGATTGAGTAAAGGGTATGAAGTGACTGTCGCAAATGGAAAGCTTAGCAGGGCCGGCCAGCTAGGGTTCTCCTTGGCATCCCTTTGCCCAGGGAGGGAAGGATGCTCTCCTCTAGGTGTAAACAGAGCATCTTTCATGTGAGGGTTTTTTTTGACCCGTTTGAGGCCAGTAGGTAAATTGGGGAGGAGGTCAGACTGGTTCTGCTTAAAATATTCAGTATGCCAAGGTGTCATATTTTGGGGTAGCATGTCCTGAACTTCGTCACGTTCAGCAGTTAATTATTGCAAAGATGTTACGCACCAGGTCTTATTTTAGGCACAGGGGACACAGCAGTGGCCAGAGCAGTCCAGCTCCTCCCTCTCATGGGGTTGACATCCCAGTGGGAGGAGCTAGTGAACAAATTAGCAGGTGAGGATCATCGAGTGATGAGTGCTGTGAGGAAGGCAAACAGCGTAACAGCAAACACATGTGCTATCCCTTCGTATTTTAGAGAGGGGGAGCTCATTTACCTTCCACGTGGGAGTGTGCCTCTCTCATTTCATTTTGTGATCGGTGAATGTGAGCACTGAAAACATTTTATTTTATAGGTGACTATCGATAGCTCTTTGTAGTTTGCATGTCTTTGATTACTCAGGAAGCCAGACTTTAAAAAAAATTATTTATTTTTTAGAGGGGAAGGGAAGGAGAAAGAGGAGAGAAACATCGATGTGTGAGAGATACGTTGATCTCCTGCACTCCCCCAACCAGGGACCTGGCCCACAGCCCAGGCATGTGCCCTGACTGGGAATCGAACCAGTGACCTTTTGGTTCACAGGCTGGTGCTCAATCCACTGAGCCACACCAGCTAGGGTGAGGCCGAATATTTTCACGTAGCTGCATACATCTCCTCATCATTGAGTTTCTGTGCCTGTTCTCTGCTTATTCTCCTCTTGAGGGTCTAGTGTTCTCCTCTATTTTGAATAAGCTCTTACATTACTAATTTGGCGTTGAGTCTTTTATGCACACACAGCAGATTGACATGCACCCTTCAACCGTGTGTAGTGACTGTAAGAACAAAGGAAAAACAGGAAGCCTAGAATTCCCTTCTTGCCTTTCTGCACCCGCCCCCCCCCCCCAATGAGTACAAGTGATCAGAGGGGGGAACATGGAGTTTAAGTGCAAAGAAGTGGAGAGAGGAACTCCAGAAGGTGGGTGGGCAGGTGAGAAGGTCATGACGGTGGGACTGGAAGGGCGAAGATGAGCTGGGGCCCGAGAAGCCTCAAGGAGGAAGCGAGCGAGGGAAGGGACCGTGGAGGAGCCCCAGGGGCACCCCGTGCTGGCCTGGGATGATCGCGTGTGTCGTTTTTTCTTTCTCTCCCTTTAGAAGATGACTGTGTTCTTTAAAACGCTTCGAAGTCACTGGAAGAAAACCACGGCTGGAGTCTGCCTGCTGACATGGGGAAGCCATTGGCTGTACGGGAAACACTGGTAACTAGCTGAGAGTCCCCAGCCCACCTTCACTCCCACAACCAAACTGCCCCAGGAGGCCTGAGGGTGAAATCTTGTTCAGCTGTGCTTGTCTCTGTGGGGGAGCTTTGCCGGCAGAGCCCCCCGCCCCCACCACCGTCTGCCAAGGTTGAGAATAAGTCTACCAAGACATGATCTGCTTGGGGAGGAGAGGTGGCTGATCTCTCAAAGGAGAAGGGCCAGGAGCCCGTTCCTCAATGGCTTTTATTGGGTTCAGTTTGCACAGGAATACAGGTAAAGCTCATCAATCATTGTCAGGCAGTAAGGATCAAACAACAGGTAATGTTCAAAGAACTCTGAGGGCTTATTCTGAGTCAGGGTCAGTTAGCTAAAGGGCTATAACACTTTGGGAAACCGACTCATTTTATGCTTTGGACCCTTATCAGAAGATTGAGGGCATTCTTAGCAGAGCAGGTTTCACAGGATTTTATGCATCCTTCCTTAGGCCTGATCTTCCATGGGAACCTCCCAGTCCTGCCCAGGCCTGTACCGCCCTCCAGCATTGTTTCAGGCTGAAGTCAGGCAGGGGAAGTAAGGCAGCCAAGAGATTAGGAGACTTCTTGCAGACAGAATGAGGACTCAGGCTATGTCAAAGTTGAGGGGCAAGGGTCCATCACCCCCTTTTTCTGTAGCCCTGCAAGTCTTTCCCTGATGGCCCCTGTCATGACCTTGCCTGTCTTAGGTCGTCCCTCCCTTGAGGAATCTTACCTATCATTGGCTAACCGGTCATTTGCCCGGGGCCAAGCAGGGTGGGGTAAAAGGGTGCAGAGGAGGTGCCGCTACCCAGAAGATAAGCTTTGTGTCCTTAGTGGATTATGGTCCCAAGGCCTCTCTGCTCAGCCTTAGCCACAAGGGGTTACAGTTTCTGAAACCAGGGAGGGTGGTTCCCAACACGGTCTCTATAAAATGCTGTGGTGTAGAAAGAAAAATAAGTCTTCAAACCACAGACAGAGGCTTCTTGTGGCAACCAGGTCTGTAAAGTCGGAGCTATGCAGAGCTGCTCACACTGATGCTGCGGAGGATGTGCGTTGCAGCTGTGGGTTGGGGAGGTGAGCGGTGGAGCCCAGCCTAGGGAGAGAAGGTCACCTGCCATGTTAACAGTGGACTGGGACCGGGACCAGGACGGGACTGGTGTCCCCTGGGGTTTCACTCCTTCTGCTTCGTACTACAGCCTCCTGATCTACCACTCTGGTTGCCCGGCCAGACTGGTCTGCCTCCTGCAGCCCCTGGGACTGTCCTCCTGCGTCCCTCTAGCTTGGGCTCATTTAAATGAGACAAAGGCTGTCAGACCTTTTGTTTGAATAAGGAGTTCCACAGGGTCCTGGGTTTTATTAGCCTGCAGGCCTGGAGGGCGGAGAAAGCGCGGAGCGCCTCTTCTGATTTAATAGGCTACTAAGATTTAAATACACAGAGTTTTTGCATAAAAATTATACAGGTTTTCCAGAGAGCCAATCAATTTGCAGGCTTCTGGGGGATTAAGGGCTCCATCCTAAATATATAGCAAGTTCCTCTGCAATCCGGTGTCTTAAATGACTGCTTTGTCAAACAGAAGACGGGCCAGGGAGGCCTCCTGACAAAGCCCCCACGTCGGGAAGGAGACGCGTGCTGATGCTCCTGGGAGCGTTCCGTGTGCTCCGCTGTCAGATGGTTTTACGGTGCAGCACGGCGTCTAGCTTTTTGCAGCTACAGAGAAGATGAACTCCCCCCGCCCCCTACCCCGCTGCTTTCTTTCTAACTATCCTCAATGCTAAACTTGAATTCCATTAACTGGTATATAAAGAACAGACGCAAGAAGCTTAAATCTGGTAATATATAGAAAAGAAAAGGGTGGAGGAAAGGTTTTAATAAATGGAATATGACAGCCATGGTGTTTGCCTTTTCCTCCCTTTTCTAACTGTACTTGAGTCCTCAAGGAAAGGCTCCGTTAAAACACACAATTTAGCAGTAAATGTGGAGATCGAATGGGCGCTATGCAGAGATTCAGGAATCAGGCAGCGTCCCATCTCGCAGCTGAAAGGATGCGCTGAGGGGTTGTATTCAGTGGAAGGTTTTGATAGGAAGAGGGGTGGGGCAAGGGAGCAATGAACAGCAGAAAAGAGAGGATTTTTCTTGGTCCAGGATATTTGGGGGAGGGGGTGGGAGAGAAGGGGAAGGGTGTAATCCTGCCTTTTCTGACTGGCGAAGGGAGGGGCCGTGGGACAGATTGCTGGTGCCCGACCAGAATACCCCAGGCTGGTTGATTAAGACGGTGTTTCTGGGAGAGGTGGGATCTGCAGTTAGGTCAGGGGTTAAATCTACAGTTGGCATCATGGGCACAAGTGACGCTGTTTTGGACCTGGGGACACAGCTCCTCCTACCTCCTGGTAGGTGGGAACAAGGGTTTGCCATGCGGGAGGGAGCGCGCAGTCCAGGCCAAGGCAAGCTCAGTCGGGGAGAACTCCCCACCCATGGAGGGTTGCTGCTGTTCCTGTTACCAGGTGAAGATCTGAGGAAACAACCGAGTCCCCTGGTCAGGGTGTCTTTAGAGGCCCCATAATAATCTCTTGTCAGTGTGGTCTTGGCCACGTCGCTCCCTGGGCTGGAGCGTCATCCCGTGCACCGGAAGACTGCTGGTTGGATTCCTGGTCAGGGCGCATACCCGTTGGCGCACCGGTCTGGGCACGTGTGTGAGGCAGCCTGTCACTGTTTCTCTCTCACGTCGATGTTTCTCTCCCCCTCCCTGTTTCTGTAAAATAAGTAAAAACATGTCCTCCGGTGAGGATTAAAGAAAAAAGTTTGAAAAGTTCCATCATGTCTACTGCACACCAGGGGCCTCATTCTCTTTTTTTGTACAATTTTTATTTTGGTAAAATACACGTAACATAAAATTTAATATCTTAATCATTTTTTTAAGTACGCAGTTCAGTGGTATGGAATACATTTGCATGGTTACGCAACCATCACCCCCATCCATCTCCAGAATGGCTTTCATCTTGCAAAACAGAAACCGTGTGTTCATTAAACAATAATCCCTCCCCTCTACCCCCGCCCCCCCCAGTACCTGGCAGCCGCCACTCGACTCCCCGCGGCGGCCTCATGCTGAACTGGGTGTGAAACAGCTCAAACCAGACGCGTGGTGGGAGCCTGGAGGCCTCGCTTTGCCGTCTCCCCCTTGACGTTCAAGGTCACTGCTCCAAATGCAACCCCATCGTCCTGCTGCTCTTCTTGTCCTCAAACTTTCCTGCTGTGTGCAGTGGTACTATTTTGCCCTTTTTAAATTTAGCCCCCCTTTTTAAACAACAGTAAAAAACACAGAACATAAAGTACCCCCTTACATTAACCATTTTTAAGTGTGTGGCAATTGCTGTTAAGTTATTCACATCATTACCCAATAGATCTCCAGAACTTTTTCATCTTGCAAAACTGAAGCTCTCTACCCACTAAACAATAACTCCTCACTTCTCCTACCCCAGCCCCTGGCCACCTCCCTCCTGCTCTCAGCCTCTTAGTGAGACTGCTGGAGATTCCATCTATGAACCGAATCACGTGGTATTTGTCTGTTGTAGCTGCCTTATTTTATTTAGCGTGATGTCCTTAAGGTTCATCCATGTTGTAGCATGTGGCAGGATTTCCTTCTTTTTTAAGGCTGAGTGATACTGGTTATGTGTATGTCCCACATTTTCTTCATCCATTTATCTGTTGGTGGGTATGTGGGCGGCTCCCACCTCTCGGCTGCCGCGAACAGCGCTAACACAGTGCCCCGAGGTGTGCGGCTCTGTCTTCGGGGTCTTGTTTCCCATCCTTGCAGGTGGGCACTCAGAAGTGGGATTGCTGGGTCGCATGGTGGTCCTATCAGCAATTTTCTGAGGACCCTCCATACTCTTTTCCATGTCGGCTCTACCACTTTCCGTTCCCACCAGGTGCACATGGGCCCCAGTTCCTCCACGTCCTCACCGACACTCTATTTCCAGGCTCTTGATAGCGGCCATCCTAATGGGGGAGACCGGGCATCTCGTGGTTTTGACTTGCATTTCTCCAGTGATTGATGATGTTGAACATCTTTTCATATGTTTCTTGGCCACTCATTTATCTTCTTTGGACATTTAAAAAAAATAAGGTTCCTGGTATTTGGTTTTAAGTTGTTGAGTTGCAAGCATTCTCTAACCCCTTATGAGATATATAAGTCTGCAAATATTTTCTCCCTTTTCATAGGTTGCCTTTTCACTCTGCTGATTGTATCATTTGATGCACAGAAGTTTTTAAGTTTGTTGTCATTCCATTTGCCTGTTTTTGCTTTTGTTGCCTCTGCTTTTGGGTCACACCTAAGAAATTATTGCCAAATCTAATGTCATGAAGCTTTCGCCCTGTTTTCTCCCAGAATTTTTATAGTTTTAGGCCTTATATTCAGGTCTTAAATTCATTTTCGGTCTCCCCGCCTTGTGTTGTTTTGGCATCCTTGTTGGAGGTCACTTGGTTGTATGTGCACGGATTTACTCTGGGCCTCTGCTTTGTTCCGTTGCTCTGTCTTTATGCTGGTGCTACATTGTTTTGGTTACTGTAGCTCCGTAATGTGTTTTAAAATTAGAAAGTGTAAGTCTTCCAACTCTGTTCTTTTTCAAGATTGTTTTGACTATTTGGGGTCCCAGAAGATTTCATGTAAATTTTAGGATTTTTTGCTATTTCTGCAAAAAATGCCACTGGGATTTTGATAGGAATTGCATTGAATCTGCAGATCACTCTGGACTGTGTGGACATTTTAAGTGGTCCAATTTATGACATTGGGATATCTTCCCATTGTGTTTGTCTTTAATTTCTTTCAGCAGTTTTTTGTAGTTTTTAGTGTGTAAATCTTTTGTCTCCTTGGTTAAGTTATTCTTAAATATTTTATTCTATTTGATGCTATCATAAATAGGATTATTTTCATATTTTTTTCAGATTGTTCATTGTTAGTATATAAAAATACAACT